GAGCCGGCTGGGGATGGTTCAGCATTTGGCAGGGAAGCATCTAGAGCGCTCTCTTCATTGTCACCTGTAGAGGGCTGTGCTTCCCTTCTAGATGCTGAAGATTGCCTGGGAACAGTCTCAGAGGAGTTTCCATTCACTGCAGATGGATCAGAAAAATGTGTGTTTTTACAAAAAGCAACAGATCAAAAAAAATGTATACTAACAAACTCAACCATACAAAGTTTTAAGCAAAACAGAATATATCTAGAAACATTCTATTAATGCGTTAAGCAAAGTAACTTGCTAAAAAACAAGAGGCAGGAGGAAATAAGAAGCTCAAGTTGTTAAAGTTACACCAGTAACAGTGTGAATAGGACACCATGGAGCCTCTAAAAACAGCCTGTTTTACTGCTGCAAAAGAACAACAAGAGCCAGAGGACAGGGATGAAATAAACTGCACAAGTAACTAAGTTTTTTAGGAGAGGTTCATGCTTAAAAGATTTTTTCTTCCAATAAGTATTTCTGTTAGGATTCTAAAAGAGAAGCAGAGGAGAACAGAACCGGAGAGCTAAATAACAACGATAAATAACAATTTACAACTAGCAATCCAGAAAGAGGCAACAAATTCATGTGGTTTATTAATCTAAGCTTTAAGGACAATGTTGGAGCGGCAGTATCTCTTCTTGGATGTAGAGAACAAAGAATGGTTGCATCTCTTCACTGTGTTCACAGCTTTAATGAAGTGGCGGTAGAACAGTAGCAGTATAGAGGTCCTCCACATGGTTTCTTTCAAACAGATTTAGAATAAGAACATCGTGAATCGTACCTGTTTAGAAACACAATGTTTAAAAAAAAATAAAATAAACAATGGGAATGACACCCAATGATCAGGAGCTGTGCGTTTTTGTTGAGAACCAGCCTAAGTGGAATCATTTCTGTCCATTCATCCCCTTTAGCGTAGAGCAGCTCTGCAGCATACTGCACTCTGCTTTCCTCTACTTTATATCTCTCCTGGGTGTTTGGACAAAGGTGCTGACAGCAGCATAGACTGCAGGCCTCACTTAATGAAAATTAATCTACTGTTCTTCTTCTACACTTCATTAAAACCCTATGAACCATGAAGAACATTAACTCGAATCTACTGGAAACAGAATAGGTTTTTGCATAAAAGAAGAGAAGAGAAAAATGCAGCATCCCAGGGGTTGATCACAGCCGCATTCCTGTCCTTGGAGGTGGTTATCCTGCCCTTTGCAGCATGCATCCTCCATTTACTAAATAACTAAACTACATATTGACAGATGGATTTTGCTACATGAAGGTGCGGGAAAAATGTGTTTTTACAGTTTGATAAAAGAGTAAACTCACCCATTCTGGCGTCTGGGTCTCTGTCTGGAGGTTGGTGTACTGGGGTGGAGTTAGCTGTTGCATCTCCATTAGTCAGGCTGGGGACATGATGGAGAGGAGGGCTGCAGGAACTGGAAGGCACCTGACCATCTGCACCGCTGGAGGCTGAGCAGGAACCGGACCGCTGGCCCAGGTCTGCTCCATTCATGGTGCTTCAAGAGGAAAACGATGAGTGAAGATCAGAAACTATACCACCCAGCTCCTTTTTTAATGTAGATTTAGCTTTAAAGGTGGACGATTCTTTGTATTCAAGTATCAAAGCGATAGTTCACTGGTATTTTAAAAATAAAAACCCTTTTTTTTTTATTTTGCATCTCGCACTTTGTAAAAAGCAGCTAATGAAGAGTTGCTCATTATTCCCATCTGTTTAAGCACAGCATAAATAGCAAACTGGTTTAATCACTGAAAGGGTTTCCCCTGACTCATATTTAGTGCTGATAAAAGAGTTTAACTCATTATTGTCCCAAATTTTCTCTCTTGTTGATGTCATTCTTTTATTTTTGCCACACATTGAATTATTGGTGCGTTAAAAAATGTACTAAAACACATTTCCTGTCTCCCTTTACTCCGCCCTGTTTCTTGATCCCTCAAACAATGTCGACCAATTTTCCACTCGTTATCTTTCATGCAAAGGACTGTTTGAAGTTTCTCTAAATCTAGATTATGAATTCTGTGCAGAAAAAAAGGCAATCAGAGGATTTAACACTTTTCAAACGATAATTTGCTCTTAAAGTTATTTGACATTTCCTGTGATCCATTTTCCTTTTTCCAACTGAGCTACTATTACATCGATTGGACTTTTGGAGCAGAATTATATCATGTTTAAAGCTTAAATTACTATACATCGTACCTTGGAGGAAAACAAGAAAAAAATAAGAAAAAAATTCCAATATATTTTAATCTAATTTCACATGAAAATACAACAAAGTGGTGCTAATAAACACCAACTGAATATGGGCTTAAACTCTTTGGTAAGGATTGCTATTTATATTAGCCAAGCAATAACATAACATCTGGAAAAAAAACAAACAAAACAAATCCCTGACGATGTAAATTGCTGTTGAAACCAGAGGAGTAAATGTTTATTTTTTAGATTAATTTCTGTAGTGGATCTAAAGACCTCATGCTAGTTGATCAAGGACCCCAAGCCGGGTCGCAACCCCAGTTTTGGCAATCAGTTAATCGCGTTCGTCATCAATGGAATAATACAGAATATAAAGCCATTAGGTTCAAGGGGTATGGATGTTTCTGCAAAGCACTGTCTTTAACAAACACCATATTATGTGAATAATCAAAGCAGGGAGGGTCTTTGCCACCCACACAAAGTAGTTGGCAAATTGTTGCAGCATTTACGGTGATTACCTGTTAGCAGCCCTTGAAGAAGAGGAAGAAGAGTCCCCGTTTTCATGAATGGCGTCACCATTCTGCTGGACTTCTGGCAAAACAGAT